GAAACTGTGTACCCGTTAGGGGCAGTGCCAAGGGCTTTGACGCACAACTTTGGCGATCGATAAAGCTTTCGATATATGCGAACGATGTGCAATCCAACTCGTGACGGTGGACTGAGACGGAAAATGTTTCGACCGGGTGTACCTTCTGATTACTGTAAATTAAGTGATTAGGTGATCGGTGACTTCCGCTGTGTTGCTTCGAGTTATGGCTTTTTCTTCTCTAAAAGAACCCTGTTCTGTAGAGTCCATCTTCGATTTGTTCTCTTGAATCTAAGATAGTCATAAGTTACACAAGAGTACTGGAGGATTTGATGTAAGAATATTGTGAAGTTTGTTGTGTGCGGTGTAAAGGAAGCGTGTCAGGAAGTGGTAGGATGTATAATCGTTTCGACCTGTTTGGTTATCATCAGCAGGCCAAATCCATTAACCTAACGGGGGATAGAACCTGGGCCCCCACATGTAAACTGTGGTAATCGGAATAGTACTGAGTGTAGAAATATGAGAACCCGTAATGTACTGCTCAGAACTGGATTGGCTCCGACCCGAACTGCGGACACCAACGAAACACACGATGAATGGATAGCAGCAAATGCTTATATCCATTGATGGAATTACAGCATGTTTTATAGAAGATAATAGTCCATGTGATTGGTTGAACGACCGTCCTCCAATCACGTAACCGTTTGCACCGACGTATCATATGTACTAACTCGGATGTCATGTTCGCCCGGTGTACCATTGGCCGAGCTTCCCGAACGGTGATTGGATGACATAAAACTGTACCTGGTCGTGCATGGATTGAGGTCACGGAAGTCTGGATCGCCAAAACTCTCTTCCCTCAAGAGTGCCTCGTCAATCTGGCTCGCCTGACGGCTAGACCTGCGGACTGCAATCGTTGGCTTCGCCTGTTCCTGGTGGTGTCCTTGTGTTTCGATTGCTTGTGTCTGCGCATTTGACTGATGCGGCTCCGTCGGTTGTTCAGACGGGGTATGCAACTGATTGTCTCCCTCGCTTGTCTCTTGATACCGCTGGTCCGTGGGCGGTTTGAAGTGGATTTGGTCCAAGTGTCGAGGCACTGTAGGGAGGATCGCAAGCGTCTGGATTTAAAAAGCATTGCCGGGCTCTCCTTGGTGATTTTATGTGTTGCGTTTCGGCATTGGAAAAGGAAGTTATCCAACTCAGGTAGCGTTTTAGGATTAACAGACGCAATCATACTCTTGACCGTTTTAACTAAATTCTCTGCCAATCCGTTCGAACAGGGACAATGTGGCACAGTTCGAAGATGTCGCCAACTAATGCTATCCATCCAAAGCTTCATTCCGGTCGCACAGAACTGAGATCCATTGTCCGTCACAAGTACTTGTGGAATCCCTTCGCGACTAAAACATTTTCATAGTACTTGTATCACAAATGATTTGATAGGTGTGGTCGTGAAGAATACCTCTGGCCATTTGGAGCATGAATCGATCAGAACAAGGGTGTAGTACCGGTTCAGAAATGGACCACAGAAATATAAATGAATCCTTTGCCATGGTATGTAACTTTCCGGCCATGGTATCCAGTTTTTCGGCCTTGTTTATAGTTTATATAAACATGACTCACAGTTCTTGGCTGTTGAGTAAATGTCTGCGTCCAACTCCGGCCACCAACACATCTGTCGAGCCAATGATTTCATCTTCTCCACCCCCCATATATCCTTTATGCAATTCATGTAGTACCGTCTTCCGTAGTGGCGGTGGGATTACCAATCGATCGTCGCGACACAATACACCATCCAATTGCATTGACAACTCCTCTCGGTGAGCAAAGAAGTGAGGATATTTTCTCTTTACCACTTTATCTCTGGTGACAACCCTATCTTGACCGCCGAGAGTATGGTCGAGTAGTACTGTTTGGTAGATTTGCGTAAAGATTCCCGAGAGACTGGTGATGCTGGGGAGATGAAACTGCACTGTTCGGTCTCAGGAAAATCGTGAGTAGCGAGAGAGGAAACCAGCCTGCGGGATTATCTTTCCTGGACGATGTTGGATGTCATAGTTGTATGCGGCTAGGGCGATGCTCCACCTCTGTAGCATAGCAGCAGTGAACTTCGCGATGGATTTGTTGGGGTTGACCAAGAACTGTAGCGCTTGGTGATCAGTGATGATAGTAAACCGCAATCCGAAAAAGTACTTCTGCCAACGTCCAACAGCCCAAGATACAGCCAACGCTTCTTTTTGAGTCTGCGAGTATCCTCTTTCAGCCGCATTAAGTAGACGTGAAATGCAGATCACTGGGCATCCTTCTTGTTCTAATACAGCACCGATTCCGACGTCAGACGCATCGGTGATGAGTGTAGTCGGTTTTGAAGGTGAAAACGGGGCCAGAACAGGACGATCAGCAACACAGCGAATTAAACCACGTAAGATATCTTCACACTCCACCGACCATTCCCAAGCGTCTGAACACTGAGCACGGAAAAGCGGCTGCGCCTTTGCAGCAAAGTTCGGGATAAATCGGGACTATTACTGTAGGCATCCAATCACGGATCTGAAATGCGTTTGATACTTTGGAGATTCGATGTTAGTTAAAGGTTGGAAACGTGTCGGATCGGGACGGAATCCACGGGAATCAACCGTGAATCCTAGAAACCCAACTCAATCACACCAAACATATTTGGACGGCTTGATAGACACGTTCCTGGCGGCGAATCGTTTCAGTAGCTGCGTCAGACGGACATCGTGTTCTTTCTTATTAAGGCCGAAAATTAGGACGTCATCTTGATATGCCAGCACACCGTCGAGTCCTTTGATTATACTGTCTATTGTCGATTGAAAGAGCCCAGACGACTCATGCAATCCAAACGGGAGAAAATTGTACTGGTGCATTCCCCACGGCGTGTTGATTATTGTAAAGTAGCGAGATTCGAGTGGAATCTGTAGGCATGCATCCACCAAATCGATCTTGGAAAAATACTGGTTCCAGAATGGTCGCTACTCATGTAACAAGTAGTTAGGTTTGCAATGTTCTTAACCCAACCAAACCACTGGATTTGGACGCTGAAATGAGTATGGCAACTCTTTGACTGGTCGCTTCCCTCTTCCTGACAATTGTATTCAGTACGTATGTATTCAGTAAAAGTAAAAGTGAAAGAGAAGAGAGAGTTTTGATATTCACAACACGACATCGTCATCTTTGTAGTTGTTCTTGATTGATTCCGACTGAGTGAGCTCGAACACTCTGATCAGCCAAAAGATCCTATTTTCAGGAATAAAAAGATTGCGATTTTCAATCACGTAGAACCGATCAGGTTGAGATCAGTTGGTACCAATTTTCTTCTCCAGGTATAAGATATAAACGTTTTCATTTTTGTATGTCGTTTCAATTGACGCGTTCGACGAATTTATTCACAACTGATTATACTCCATTAAGCATATAAAGTCTATCATTTAATAATTATAAACTTTACTTAGCATAGAGAATGACCGTTGAAGAATGTATACGTATTCACAAAAAGCAATCAGAGAATTTACTGAACCCCGAAACAGCTTTCATCTGAAATCAAAAAGTCAAGCGCGATTGTCAAAACTCCAAAAGCCTCAGTATGCTCCGGGGTGGAAGTCGCCGGTTACTATTGGTCACCCCTTCACTGCACCCCGTGAAATACTCCCATACGACCAGGCGTCTCATACAGCTTCTGCAAAGAAAACCCTATTCACTGCCTCCTCCCACCAAAGTGAGAGAAGGAAATCCAAATTTCGAGGCCATAACCAGGTCAATGAACCACTGGCAGTTCACCTAAGGGAGTTAACTAAAATCCCCGATTGCAAACGTACTACCCACTCACACCTTCTTGGTGTTGTAAATCTATAAGACGGTGCCGGGACGAGGATAGTTATTTATTGGACATCACGGTCAGGGTATCGGTAAATTGGCATACATACAACAGAATGTCTCATTTGGAACGAGTCTTCAGAATTCCCACACGAACATGGGATAGCTGATGGGACTGCCCAACAGTGGATGTGCATTCCTCTAGTTACCATGCTGAGTACAGCAATTCTCTCCGACAGGTCTTGCTAAGTTTTGACCGTTGAAAGAAACCGCCAATCGCATCCCTTTGCGAACTACTCACAACTGTGAGCAGGACCTCAAAACACTGGTCGTGGTAGTGGCCACCAGCTCAATTGGGTATCGAAGTGTATCGGACACTTTGGACGTTTGACCCCGTCCAAAGGGCGCATGATCCGATCAACTGTACACAGGCCGCTAACAGACTACGGTTTTTACACACCGCCACAATGCCTAGCAGGCCAGGCTTTGGCCAGCCGAAATAATAACACAAAAGAAAATAAGTCAACAAAAGCGAGCGTCTCAGATTCGGTTTCTACAACTCTTAAGAATGCACATTCAGGCGGTGGTTTTGGCTGCTGACTCTAAACGGCGAATATTTTACTAACCACATCACACAATATCAAAAGGGGTCGTCTACTGAGTTACAAAGCTATGAAAAGGTTACGGTCATGTTCGAATATAGAACAAAAGTTTGATAAAGGCCAGTAGTGATATGCAAGATGTCTGCAGTAGCGACACTTTTTTCGCATACCATCAGTTACTTCATACGAATTATAAATGGACATTACATTTGTGTATGGAGTATGGTGATCAACAGATTCAAAGGTGAGATTCATACAACTTGTTCACAAGACAGTGTAACCAGTTTACCAACATTATTTTCTCCTAATCTGAATACAGATGGGTGGATATGGTTGGTAAATGGGTGAGGATCACATGTTAATGTGTGGGTGTGTGTTTAAGTAGGTATAAGGCGGAGAGGGAAAGTCAGAACACGTGGTCATGTCCATTTGTGATTCGAATGAAGTAATTGATGATATGCGAAAGAAATGTCGCTCCACCACACATCTCGCCTAACATTACTGGCGTTTTTCAAATTTATACGGCGAAATCATTGCTTCAAGAACAAAAATTTGGTTGTCTTCAAACAGATAAACCAAATGCAACTAGACAAAAGCATGATAAATGAAAAAATTTCGCCAAAAACCAGAAATATTCAATTTTGCACATACGGCTTTGACAATCACGCTTCCCATTGTTCGTTTCTCGAATTCGTTCTTCCCGTAGCACAGAAAACTGTGACTGTATACGTCATAGTCCCGACCAAACAGACGGAGCATATGAAAATCGATCGAGGTGGCAAGACTGGGTGGTTTGGAATTGGACACAAAAGCGATTTGTGTGCTGGCTCCGCCCAGATCCAACGACCCTACAGTTTCGGACGGCGCCACTTGTTTTTTCTGCATAAAGGAAATAGAAAAAAAGAAACATAATGATNTTGTGTGCTGGCTCCGCCCAGATTCAACGGCCCTACAGTTTCTGACGGCGCCACTTGTTTTTTCTGCATAAAGGAAATAGAAAAAAAGAAACATAATGATCACAGATAAGATGCTCATAGAAATCAATTGTTCTAATAAGTTCATTAGGAGGACAACTGAATCAAAATAAGTATTCAATACCGGCATGATTCATTTTTTAAAATTGTACTCGGAACAGAATTAAGGAGGTAGATTTTCGAACAAAGAATGAAGAAAAAGTTGATACCGAAACAGTAAGTTAGACAGCAATGTTCCTGTTGATAGTCATCGAAATTCATGAGAGGGGATAAAAATTACCAACCATGCAAAACGTTCAGTGAAAGGGGTTTATTGANGACGGCGCCACTTGTTTTTTCTGCATAAAGGAAATAGAAAAAAAGAAACATAATGATCAAAGATAAGATGCTCATAGAAATCAATTGTTCCAATAAGTCCATTAGGAGGAAAACTGAATCAAAATAAGTATTCAATACTGTCATGATTCATTTTTAAAAATTGTACTCGGAACGGAATTTGGGAGGTAGATTTTCGAAGAAAGAATGAAGAAAAAGTTGATACGGAAACAGTAAGTCAGACAGTAATGTTCCTGTTGATAGTCATCGAAATTTATAAGAGTGGATAAAAATTACCAACCATGCAAAACGTTCAGTGAAAGGGGTTTATTGAAACCGGACCTCGAGTGTGCTCAGAAAGGAGAGTTAGCCTTTTCAGATTGTATGTGCAAAAGTAGCAAACAAATTCTCTTTAAGAAACACCCCATCCCTGATTTAACTCAAACTACTCCCATTACTACTGAATGGCAAGGAAAGAAACCAGAAAGAGCGGGGGTCATCGCTTTCCAATTCTGAAAAAGTAATAGTATAATGAAACAAGCCTTTCCCGAGATTAATTTGAAAAGAAAAGACCATATTGCAATACTGCACGATTTATGTCCAGGACGATTTCGCTGCATCTCAACATGGTGCATACTGCAGAAAATACAATTTTTATATAGAGTTTTAATGAATTATATATTATATTATAATGAATTATATCCTATGTACACAACGAAGTTCACCGTACAATCGTGCCAATCCTTGGCTACTTTCAAGTAACAAACTCAGAGGATGTTTCCAGCCGAGTCATAGCTTTGGCGGCTAGCGTTGAGATGAATGAAGTGCACTGGTGCACAAAACGTTTCCCAAGATGAGTTGTGCTATATCCTCCCGTAAAGGCCAAGTGGATAGTGTACTTGCGTTCCACCCGTGAGGTTCGGGATTCGATCATCAGTTGGGTCGATGGATTCGCCGGCACTGCTGATGAGACCCAATTCGGTCATAAACAGCTATCCCGTGCTTCCTAGCTTTTCAATTTACGCTTCGCTGGCTCTCTGTACACGACGTAATTCATCACACAATTCAATCACATCCTCCATTACTGTCATGAAACAAATCCACGAAACGAAACGAAATTACACCAACTTAAGTACAAAAAATTGTATTCGAACAAAGCATCAACAACCTGCTACTGCATAGATAAAAACAGGTGAATATTCAATCTGACATGAATTAGAACGGTAAAGTAATTGAAGAGTTACGAATCACACATAGAGACACTAGAA